CAAGCAATGGCTCCCCACAGCCGTGGACCATCCAGCCTCATGGAAAACGGAAGCAGGAAAAGTAAGCACCTCAAGGCTGTTATGAGACTCAGCTGTTTTCTCTTTGAAATAAGGCATTTACTCCATAGCAAGTGTATTAACTAGCCCTCCAGCTGGAGAAAGCATCTGTTTTCTTACTTAGGCTTTTCTTTGACAACTGGAGAATCTATAAGGCGTTCTTACAAGGAAACCTAGGTGCTGATTCATGTAGCTGTTTTGATACCTCATTGCGCTTTAATAATTTGGACAAAAGCACTGTATTATGCACAATGAGCTACTTCCTGTCCTATTGCAAATCGCATTGCAGTACTGTGCTCTCCCGTTACCAAACCCTCAGATCAGAAGGTGTGATGTGTGATATTTTACTGAAGGTGAAGGAAAATGAGTTCCCTGCACACAAGTCCCTGCTGGCCTGCTCCAGTGATTATTTCCGGGCTATGTTCAAAAGCTACACCACAGAATCCAAAGCCAGTGTAATTCATCTGCAAGTGATCTCGTCTGTGGGTCTCCAGCATATTCTAGATTTCATCTACACCTCCTGGCTACCCCTTTCTTTTGAGAGCCTGGAGGATACTTTGGAAGCTGCCAGTTATCTACAAGTGACTGAGGCTCTTGGCCTGTGCAACCAGTATATAGTTAACAATCTCACCCTGGAAAACTGCTGTTTTTCTGCCAATGTTGCTACAAAGTTCTACCTTCCGGATGCTTTAGCAGCAACAGAAAAATACATCATCAGTAATCTCTGGAGGCTGCTGGACCTGGATTTCATAGGGCTGCTTGAGCTGAACTTCAGATCTTTGATGGTAGTGGTAGAATCTGATGTCCCTATGGTGAATGAATCCTGCCTGTTGAATCTGGTGATGATGTGGCTGAAGCATGATAAGTCCAGGTTGACTCTCAGAAGCAGCCTCTTGGAACAGATAAGATATGGTCTTATCCCTGTAGAAGATTTGCGAAAGGTCTACACTCAGTCAGAAGTGCCTCTCCCAGCGAGTGTTAAATGCTTGATCATAAAAGCAATAAACTATCACTCATTTGTTTTCAAGCAACCCCTCCTGCAGGACAAGTCCACCACCCTGAGGAACCAGAAAACTCAGATCATACTCCTAGGTGGAGGAACCGCAAATGAAGGGCTTGTAAGTGATGTAGTGGCCTTTGATATTTATAATCACAAATGGAGAACTCTAACGCAGGTGCAGGACAGACTACAGCATCATAACATGTGCGTGATTGGGAACTTCCTGTATGTGCTGGGTGGGGAAATAGAAAGTTCACAAAGTGAAACTAAAACTGACCCCAGCTTGTCCGTTACCAGCGGGGTCCACCGTTACGATCCAAGATTTAACAAATGGACACAAATCACAGGAATGCTGGAAAAAAGATGTCAGTTTTCTTGCTGTGTCTTAGGCAACAACATCTTTGCCATTGGTGGAAGAGGTGAGAATGGATCACTACATTCCTCTGTGGAGGTCTACAATATCACCAGGGACAGATGGACGAAGGTTGTAGAATTGCCGTGCAAGATACATGGGCATGCTAGCACAGTCTGCAAGAATACCATATACCTCTCAGGTGGCAAATCCATGGAACAAACAAACACAAGTAAAGATGTCTACTCTCTTAGCACTGTAGAAGGGCAGTGGATGAAGCAAGCTCCTATGAGCATTGCCCGGTTTGGACATCAGATGGCAACAATCAGAGATGCCATCTTCACATTTTTAGGACTATATGAACCATTCTCCGAAATAGAAAGGTATGATCCTAGCCAAAACCAGTGGACTCGGTTAAGGCCTTTGGTCTATGATCGCTTTTGTTATGGCCTAGCAGTGGTAGAGGAGACTGCGCTTCTTATTGGGGGGAAAAAATGGCAGGACTCACAGGAAGTCCCAACCCAAGATGTGGTGGGTTATGATATTGACAACGATTGCTGGGAAGAAATTTGCAAACTTCCCTTGCCTTGGTATGGACTGCAGTGTGCAGTGCTGCAACTCTCAGAATCAGCAGCAACTAAGGGGGACACCAAACAGCAAAGAAGCCAAACTGCTGAGTTAACACTTCATTGAATTATCATCCTTGAAGATAAGACAAAAGAGCAGCCCTGGAGAAAAAAAGGAAATTGCAGTGCCACTAAATGCAACAGAGTTGAACTTTTGCTTTAATAAGCAACACATACAATGGATATAGACAGGGAAATCTGTCATTAGCATGGGAAAATGTGCTATGATTTATACAGTGAAAAACAAGATTTGCCGAGGACAGATGCGGGAAGTAGCACGTTCTGAAAAGAAGAGGCAAAGGAATTCCTAATGCTGTATTTCCTTGGATGACTATTACCTAGATAGCAGTTAACAGCTGCCTAAAGTCAGATTTTTCAAAGGTTAAAAATATAATCCTTCTTTTTTAATTAAAGGTAATTTTCCCAGCTGGTAAGTGGTATTGCATTTTATGCTATAGCTAAGCAAAATGAAAGTGAAATGTATAAAGACCAGAAAATTGTTGCCTACAAGAGCTATAATAAGTAGTACCTAGAGGATGGTATTATTTGAGTTTCTAGCTAGGTGAGAGGGCCTTAGCTAAACAGCATGAAATTACTGTATGGAGAGCAGAGATTGTGCAAAATGTAGCCTTAATTATGGTTACACACTAAAACATTGATTGTTTCATATAAGTACTGAACTGAGAGGGGAAGCAACCTCTCTGTGAAATAGCTTTTGTTGTGGCATGTGCTTCAGGTGGGTTTTTTAAAGCATACTCTATACTGGCACAGTACATATTTGTTGTATCAAAACCCTGTGTTAGCTTAGGCAGCCAGTGCTGAATAGGTATAATTATTATAAAAGTTTCAGTGGAAAATGCAATAATAGCTGCTATATCCAGCTACCTAAGTAAGTACATTCTGTGTACCATGTTCTATAAAATCATGATCATGCTGGTAAAATTGTTTTAAATGTTGAACCAGTATATAAAAGTAACGCAGTAATAAAAGCTTTGCTTTTATCCAGAAGTACAAAGGAAAGAAAGTTAATATGAATCTTTTGACATTCTAAATGAAATGCCTGGCTACACCCAAGACAATAACAGCTCTGCTTCTTGTTTGCAATGATAAGAGATTTATAAGGAATAGCGTGTGAGGCGACTTTTAAGGCATAATGACTTGTGATCTGCAGTTATGCAGCTTGATACCCAAGTATGAAATCTGAATTGAGTAAATTAATATGTAATCATACATATTTGTTTAAAAGCTAAATTTATTTTGCTTCATTTTACAGTGTTCCCTTTCTAGGCTGAAAGTTGATACAGTAAAAATATACATATAGAAGAACATTTTATGTCCTTGTAAAAGAAGGCAGCACGATGAAAGGGACAAATGTTCTCTGTCATGCCAGACTATCTTAAAAACCTGTAATGTTTAATTTTCACCTTTAAAGCAATTAAGCTGACTTTACTAAAGTAAAGTGCAGGCAGAATAGCTGTTGCATAGCAACACATCTAAGTCTTCTCAACTGCCTTGGTTTTGACAAGGAATCAACTCCACAATGTGCATATACATCCATCAGATATAAAGAATTTTTATACGAATATATTTACTTTTGGTCCAGTAAAACGACAATGAGAGAGTCTAAATGCTTGGAACAATCAGCACAATTCATTTAGGTCAAGCATTTCCTTTTGTATGAGAAATACAAAAACCTCACCAATTTAATATACAAGTCAGTATCCATGCAGTAAATAAATGTCCAGTTTATACAAAGATTCATCTACATGATACAAATATTACACTGGCTCAAGAATTCTATACAAATGTTAATATGTGATTCATTGTCCATATTGACTTGAATATAGGATTATTTAAAATGGGCTGCAGAAAGGCCACTCTGCTGTACAATTGTGCAAAATCTGCAAAATAGTTGCAATCCAAAATGCAAATAAAACAAAACAGAAGAAAACAAATAACCAAAGACACACCCCTGCAGTTTTCCCTTTATTCCTACAGCAAAGATAACCATCAATAAATATCAGAGCTGTTAAATACATTCACTGAGCTGTACATACAATAGTCTAAAGTTGGTTAGGAGTACAACTCATAGTAAAGAGCAGTAAACAAGGCTTTTCCCTTTCTCCAAATCATGCCATGGCTCCTAAAACTTATGCAGCAAAACACTAAAAGAAGCAGCACAAATATTTTGCTATGCTCTGATCACTTTTCAAAAACAAGCCAATGAAAGATAAAAACGTGATTTACCTCCTACCTTCCCTTTTCCAGTTGCATGCATAAGCCCAGCTAACCACTCCACTCCTGTTCCCTGTGCCTCAAGTCTTGCAAGTTGTAAGTTTAAAATATATGTATTGGTTTGTGAACTTAGAGAACCTGGAGATATCTTTTCCCAATCAAAAGCAAAAATAAAGCTCTTTAGTTCTCACTATTTTTTCAAATTATGCATTTGACCTTGCTAACTCTATGATTTTTCCTGCACTGAAAATGGCCAAATTTCACATTAGAAAATAAATATAAAGCTAGTTGAAAAATGTGATTATTTTTTCTTTCAAAGTTAACAGAACATCTCAGATTCAAATCATTAAATTGGAATCCCCTTCTTTAGCTGCTTAATTGGGTGACTAAAACATCTCTATCAAAAACGATCCACATTTAATTTCTTGTTTCTAAAAATTGCACTTAATCCTGATACCATGATCCTGCATATGTTTCTGATACAATAATAAAAAAATAATACTTATATTAATGGGAGAATATCACATAACAAGGTCTTAATTAAAATATAAATAACCTGCTTTGCAGTGGTTGTAAACCTGTACCTATGCATAGGTCTCTTGTAACCTAGGTTTTAGATCCATGAACTTGTGTCAATGATTTGTTTGTTTATTCTTCCCCCTTTATCTGATGCTTACTTGTCTTCTCCAAAACTCAGATACAATGACCATGTTACATTTCTTCCTGTCACTTAATAAAAACTCCTAGAGTTTTTCACTGCATATAAAAAAGTTATTTTTCCTACAACCAAAAGCAATACCCGCACTCCAAAATTGTAATGCAATACTGCAATTCTATAGTATAAAATTAAATTACATTTTAAAAGTGATCAAATGACATTCAGTAGCAAAACCTTGATCCTGTATAACTTTCTCCTTGAAGGTCACCAGCTTCCAAAATGTATTTTTTTTAAATAAATTTTTCATTATTAAACACTATCTTCCTTTATTTTGCACAAGGTAAACACAAGCTGAGCATTGGTAGCATATAAAATATACAAATTCTCATTAAAGACAATGGTATCATGGACCCTATTGGGTTTACTTCACACAGCTGAGTAACATTAAAATATAATTTACTAGACCTCCCACATATTGATATAAAAACTACTTTATACACATAAGTAAAAGTGTAAGGTATCAGATAGACAAAGAAAGAACACCCTTATACATGCGTTTCAATGTATGAATGAGTGTGTGCTAAAGAGGCTATGAGTGCATTGACTTCAGAAGAGCCATTTACAGGGTCCTGTGGATTACTGCTTTGACAGATATCCAAGAACAGATCAAGGTACATTTGTTTCCATTCCTGAAAGTCTTTAGATGTCAAATCTGGATTATCCAGAACTTTATCTATAATGGCTACCTCTCCTTCTCTGGCCTGAAAAAGAAGGAGAAAAAAAAAGAAAAAAGAGAGGGATAAATCATTACCAAAAGCAGCTTGTAAAAATGATGGCAAATGTAAGAAAAGGGGATGAAAAAGTCAGACACAAAGACACTAGGGGCACCTGTAGACGTGTGGGACATCTGCTTTGACACTTGAATTACAGTGCGTCACAGCAGACTCGATTAATCTAATTAGCATGCTCCAGGAGCCTTGGCATCTCATTTATTCAGTGTCCCTACGCTTCAAAATGGCAGTGGGGGTGCTTTAACTAATGTTTGTTAAAACTAAAGCTCATTCAACAAACTTTAGTTAAAGTACCCCAGCTGTCATTTTGAAGTGCGGGACGCTGAATACACGTCATGCAGTGGGAGCTTTAATTAGAATGGCTCCCAAGACCCACTTGAATTAAAGCATTCCCCAACCCCCAGAGTATGTGTAAAGATGCCCTTGAAGAACAGCACGTTGTGCCACTACTTTTTGTGCACAAGTGTTACAGAGGAATTCAGCTTAAAACAATGATGTTATACATGGCTCAAGATACGTGACATCTTCTGGTTTGCAGGGCTTCTTATACTAATAATTCTTGTTACCCCTTGTTCTGTCATGTAAAACAAGCCTTCTGCTGTTTACTATTAGTTGCTTGAGTTTTTCAGGATGGGTTTCATGCTGAAAAGGACCATCTGTTTGCTCCTTTAAATGTCAGAAGAAATACTGTGTTAGCGTGTGGGATGCAAACAGATGGACTATCACCACCCAGTGTACCTAAGCATTTCTACACATCTATTCTCCTATGAACACCTCATATGGAGAATTAAGCAAGGAGATTTTAACCTCATAACTGATATTTTTTCAAGATCAGAGATAGGATGAGACCAAGGATGCAGAGAGAAGTGCAGCTCCCCGCTGTAACTGAGAAGGCTTTGCAGGAAGCGCTCTGAGTCACAACAACCCACCGGACCAAACAGAAGTTCACTGTTGATTCCAGGGGGGAGGGGAATCTACCTGCTGGCTGGGAGCCTGCAGCCAATTTCCCCTAGCAATGGCACCTCCTCCCTCCCAGTCTGTTCCTGTCAGAATGGGAGAGGGGCAAGGGAAAGAGGGAGCTTGTTCTTGGGGTTCCCCAGCCAGCATTGCAGGATAGAGTGGGTGAATTGGAGCCCCCCACCTTGGGGGGGACTCCCAATACACCCTCCCCACTCTCCAGCAGGGGCTGAAAAAAATCCAGATCAAACTCCCTCTGCTCCCTTTCCCCCATCCCATTCTGAAAACAGCAACCGGATCTTCATCTGCCCCCTCATGCATTGAAGGTTCGATTTTTGCCTGATCTACCATTTTTAGGCAGTCTGCAGCCATGCACTTGTGTTTGGTCATGGCTACAGACTGCTTTCTTTGGCCAGATTAGGGGAAAATTGTCACTTCTGTCTGCACCCAAGACTCTGGTTCAGTGGAATTTCTTCAAGTCATTGTGGTTGAACAAAAGGGATGAAACCATATAGTTGTTCCTATGAAGTTTAGAGCCAAACTAGCCTGCTTGTGCCCCATTTACCTGCTGTCAAAGGCATGCACAGGAGAGTGGCTAGGGTATGCTGTGCTCTCTGGCTGGTGGATGGCTTCTTGGGGGAATACAATCATCTGGCAAAGCAAATCCCAGTCTCATTTGGGCACATCTATACTACTTCTGTAGTGCTCCCTGGAATGCTGCTATAAAGCATGTCACCCACAGTTCTTGCTCCATGTATGCCGATCCTGAATATAAGGCACTAAAGCCATCCTGATGGCAATCTTGTGGCAGAGAGCTCAAGAGTTAGAGCAGGGGCTGGGACTACCATAGAAGCAGTATAGATATAGACATATCCTTTGTGGCCACTAGACTCTGATAGACTTGAGTTGTGGAAATAGAATTAGCATCCAGGTTCCTAGCATTAGGACACACTTAGTCACAGTAATGACCCTGTTAATCAACAACTTCTCCTTTACAGCTCACTTGAGAGAAATGTTATGATAACTAATACTTCTCATGTTTATTCAATGTGGGTGATGTCTGTAATTAAGAGAGATAGTTACACTGTATCAATTTGCTTTGTCTTCAACATGATTAATTTTGAAGATCTAGTCATGTTACAAATAAGGAGCACATTTAAAATATCTTTAAAATACCTAACACTTATAAAGTGATTTTATGTTTAGAGTGTCTGGCAAACATTAACCAATTAACACTCCCCAAAGTAGTAGTATACACACTCTGGAGACAGGAACACTGACATAAAGGTTACAGAAGTAGTGAAAAACGCCAGAGCTGAGATTAAAATGCAGTAACGTCTGGTACCGGAGCTAGTACATCTGTATTATACATAGTGGTACTGTGTTAGTGAGATTGTTTATATACTATGGGTATGTTCATGCGTCCGTATTACTAGCCGTTAAGTTTATACTATCCTGGAGCAAGGATTGTCTTGTAACAGGAAAGAAGGTAGGGAAATCTTTTCATTAGTGGCTTTGAATATGGTATAAAGCAAAGTTTGGCAACTGGCTTTATCCGGCCTACTAAATGGTTGGATCTGGCTGCTAAGGTCTGACCCAGCCTGGGGTGGCATGGGAGAGCAGGCAGAATGCGGCTGCACCAAGCATCCCAGCCTCTGCAGCCCTCCCTGCTGCTCTTTTGTGCCTGTGCTTCCCTTGCTGCAGATGGCCACATATCTGTAGTGGGGTTAGAAGCACAGACACCTTGGGTGCCCTGTGGGGCAGAAATATTTCAGCATTTAGCAGGGGGCCAGGTTGCAGGATCCAGCCTGCGGCAGCAAAATATTACCAACCCCTGGTATTGATAAATTTGTAGCTAAGAGGGCTGCAAGCACTTTAGAGGAGAAGATTAAAATTCAAAGTGATTTAAAAAAAAAAAAGCAAAGAAATTATTTAAAATCAACAAAGTGAAAGCTGACAAAAGGAAAATGTAACATGCTAGACTTAGGAAGCAAAAATCAAATGCACAAGTACATAATGAAAAATGCCTGGATAAGCAGCAGGTTGGTAGGAAAAAATCTGAGAAATGTGGTGGACCACAAACTGAATATGACATAGTAGTGTGCAGCTGGTATAAAGAATTCTGGGTTATATTAATAGGAATATTGCATGTAAAACCTGGGAAGTAATTATTCTAGGAGTTCACTATACTCAGCAGGAGGACTGCATCCAGTTTTGTGTACCATTCTTTGAGTAAGATGTAGACGATGGGACAAAGCCCAAAAGAGAATGAAAAAATTGTTTAGAAAACATGACCTATGAAGAAATGTTGAATGAACTAGGGTTGTTTAACCAAGGAAAGAGAAATAAAAGTCTTCCTATATGAGAGAAGTTATAAAGAGGATATTGGCTGATGGTTCTCTAAGACCACTGAGGGAAGAACAAGAAGAAATCAATTTAAATTTGCCACAAAATTGATTTAGGTTAGTTATAAGGAAAAAAAATCTAACAATGACCACTGCAAAAAGCTACGTGGAGGTACTGTGACTCTCCTTCACTGAAAGTTTTTGAAAATCTCTGGTTTTTAAAGTCAGGTTGGACAAACATCTGTCAGGGATGGTTTGTATATACTTGGCCTTGCTTCAGAGCAGCAAAACAGATTAGATAGTCTGTTGAAATCCTTTCCAGCCCAATATATTTATGTTCTTCATCTATTTCTGGATTTGTTTCAGATTTCTAGCATGAGACTTTAGGAAAGCCACTTAATTCCATGCATATTTTTTTCCTATCTAGGTCTCACATCTGTAAAAGAGCTACATACGTGCTTAACCATATGTGCTGTAGATAGCATAAATCACTTCAATGGGACAACACTTACTGAGTGATATCTTTGCAGGATTGGGGCCATATGTAGGTAATGCTGTTCTTGTACTACCCAGGACATTGAAAAATGAAATACATTAATGTTGGTAAAGTGCCTACATAATCCAACTATTTAGTTGGTCTAATAAAAGATATCACATCTACCCAAAGAACCCTGTCTACATAATCCTATGCATTGTTACTTAACAATTTAAAATAGTGTTTAAAAAGTTAAATTTGACAGTTAATAGGGTCTATTTGCTGCATTTTAAAGAAACCTCCCTGCTGAATCTCTAATAACACATGCCATGATACTTTTACAACAAAACAAAGAGGTGGACCAGGATGTTAAATGCTCTGTTCATCATCAAGGGTAATTATTCCCTATTTGGTTTTCTCACTACAGTGCATTTCATTTCTAGACAGGCACAGTAAACCTATATCTATAACGTTTTTAAAAGAATTTCCAGACTCCAAAAGAATGACTTTATTTTGGCTTGCTCTCTGGTAATTATATGGCATGTTTATCTTGGTAAATGAAAATATTCAGGGACAAAAACAGAGGCATGGTCTCTTCTGACAGCGTGGACTTCAATTGTATTAAATTAGGCAGAGGAGGAGCTCAGTGAGATATTTATCTATAGAAAAATATGAATGGATTTTGTCACCCACTCAAGACACTTTTTCCTCAGTGCTGAGAATGGCATTTGCCTATATTTCTCTTTTGTCCATTTTGAACACAAGATCCAGACAGGACTGCAGCTGTATGCAATTAATCTACTGAATATAATACCAGAAGACTTGCCTCTTTGGAGGAATTCTCTTCCCTCTATTATCTCACCTTTAAGGTGCTTTTCAGAATTCGCAATTGGTGCAGTTTTTCATTGACTACAGGATCGCTACACCTTTTTATAAAAGACTTCTTGAACTCCAGTTTAGTGGAAATCCGACGTTCTCCTAATGGTGACAGGCTGGCTTGCTCCAAAGCTCTATACAAATCTTGCAGTGAGTCTGCTGGCTTTTCTTCTACAGATTCAGCTACAACAAAGAGAGCAGAGAGAGAGATGGAGAACAGTGTATAATTAAAAAGTTTATACAATTATTTAAACCTCCCTAAAAATGGTATTTTTAATAAGACTAGAATGGGATTATTTCATATGTAGGCAATGTGTCTAAATCTCCCAAACTCCAGAAAAAAGACTGTAAATCAAACATTCCCCAAAACTACTTTTCTTTTTAATTATTGCCTAAGTTAGTCACATCTGGATTAACACATGGGACATTTCATGAGAAACAGAAGCAAAACTTTTGACAACACAAAGCCTTACACAATGCAAAAAAAAGAAAGATTATAGGCTCTAAGTGTACTGTCACAACAGACACTCTAATTACAATTAAACATAATAGTAAATTCATAAGCTATTGTGAGAAATGGAAGTAATAGGAGCAACCTACCAAATGGAAAGGGATTTTAGAGAGGCAAGGATTTTTGTGGGTGATATCGCTTATTAGACCAACTTATAGAGTTGGTTCAGTAAAATATATCACTCACAGTAATTTCATGCTCCTCACATTTTTCCTGGACCATCATGGCTACATCACCCCAACATTATCAAGGAATTGTAGGTCATTTAAGACTCTGATTTGTTAGAGGGTGCCGAAAAGTATTGCAGGGCCATTTTGCTTACTGAAAGTGTAGGAACTCTTTCTAATTCACTTTTTCCACTGACTTAATATTTTCTCTTTTTTTGTCTGATTGTGCCTGATAGTTATGTATCTATGATCACTTGTGGTATCACCCATGAGATTTTTTGTGCAATAGTAACACCTAGGAGTTCAACTAAAATCAGACCGCACTGTGTTAGACAGCATAGAACATATAGTAAGAAATGACCCAAGACTGAGGTGATACAAGGTTAGGTAGGCAAGATGAGAGCTCCATGAATAGTTTATATTTTGTTTGCTTTCTGAATGAAAAAATGAATGAAATGAATAAAAGGAAAGATTCTTTTGGACTGAATAAAATGTATTAGTCTTTAACCTGCTATTATTTTAAAAATGAAATCAAACTTAATAATGAAACATCCCTTTTGAATGTGTTGAAATATTTCTACTTTCTAAATTCCTTCTTTGAAAATGTTTGCCAAACTCAGCACACATTCAGGAAAAGTTTTGAACTGTCTGGATCTGCCTTTTTGCTGAATAGAAAACATTTCACTCAGTTCTAGACATGACAGGCAATTGCTCGGAGAAAGGGCAAACTTCATTTTGTCACACTATTACATCTCTATATATGTATTTTAAATATAGCGCTGCTAAAAAAATTGAAACCTGTGACAACCCTGGAGAGACCAACATCCCTTACATTTTTTTTCCCTAGTAGCTCATATTTTTCCATTCTAACCTGCCAATGTCCTAAGCCTACTTCTGGCAAAACCATTTGTAGGAATGAGATGGCTCTTCAGTTGACTTTAAACAAATGAGTAATCCCATCACATGAAATGGATATACTCACCTGCTTAAAGTTCAGCACATGCCACTAAAGCAGGGCTTTGGATTCCAAATTACCTAGGCTAAGTACAGAAAGTAAAAAAGCCTGAGGCTGAATTGATTCAATCTTCTAAGCTGTGTAGACTGAACCGATAAGCAAGTGAACAGACATTCACTTTTGATGCCAGAAATGCAGTCACATGTCTGCAGTGGCTCAGGCCAGAAGCCAGGGTGTGCTAGAGGATGCCTCCCTGGTCAGCTGAAGCAGACACCTTGGACCAAGGCTAGCCCACCCACTTTGTGAGGGGGGAGGGGGTTTACATGGGAGGTGCAAAGCATCCTGGGATGCTGGGGGACTGAGAGTTAACTTCAATCTGGAGGGGATCTGGGACAGAAATTCAGTAAACCAATTTAACTTAAATCAGTTAAGTCTGATACTATACCCATCCAAGTTTAAACCAGCTTCAGCCATTTTGAAAGTGGTTTAAGTGCACTGAATGTTTGTTGTGTTACAGATTTGAACTGGTTTCTGATCACTTATACCGGTTTATGTTTAATTTATGTCCCTAGTCCTAGTCAACAGCTTTTCTTACCTAACAAGGACACTAACTGATGTTAATGGCGACTGCAATATTTTGTGATGAATACACATGACCTGGACTGAGACCAACAATTCATTTCACAGAGGCCAAACAGATGCATACTGCATAGCAACTACTCACCTGAGTCATTTTCAAAGAAGAAAGCTAAAGAGAAAAAACTCAGTATCCCATAATGATACTTAGATTCACATAGTTTTAACTGGTCAAAGACTTTTACAATCATGAACTAATTCGTCTTCTTAAAATGATATATATCCCTGGACTCTTCTACACATTTTTTCAATGTCTTAGTAATTTTTAAAGTGTACATCCATTTTTAAAAATAATTTATAAGTGAGTGAGGACTATAGGCTTTTTATTGATGATGAGGTTGTGGCTTTGTAAAGAGCTTTTGGTTACATTAGGTAGTTACATGGTCTTTGTATACATGACATATAAATAAAAATGAGATGAACTTCAGTTTTTATTATTCTTTTTTATTATAAAAAATAGCTATTGTCACAACACAAAAGAAAGAGAAAAGACTATATAGTTGCATACTATCAGGCCAGCTTTATGGTCTTAATTTTTTTGTTTTTAAAAGTTTTTAAAAGTTCCACTTGCATTTTTAGAATTTCCCTGAGCTACTGAGTAAGTATATTCAGTTTCTTCACATTTGTTCATATCTCACAACGTATAATTCCAGTGACTTGGGTGCTATCTCCATACTATTTGAGTGATTCACAAAATGGCAGGAGAAAAGCTACCTAATTCTGACAGCAGGTTATTTTATATTTGGATCTCTCATCCTCTTACTCCCTGTTATAAAAAGATGTCTTCTTTCTAGTTCCTATTAAAAGAAATACCACCAATTTTTAGTTTAGTGTGACTGAGCTTTCTACTCAAGAGATTAGAAGTTATGGGAAAACTGTGTGGAAGAGACATTTTATAATTTGAACATGTCATGATTCAAAGTCACTTCAATCTCTTACTTCAGTGTGTTCTACCTTGGGCCAATCACCAGAAAAGCAATGAAGCCCATGTCCATTCTTAGCCCTGTTTCTGAACACCCCTATGTTGCCAATGAGCAAACTGTCATGGAAGGTCATACTGTTATAGTGAGAAAAGGAGGAGAATAAGCTTTGAAACAGTTTAGGCTCAACCCTCTAGGGCTTTGAGTAACACTTAATTTAAATTAAACTAACTTATAACTCTGACGTGTATATCAATACAGATAAAAAAGGGTTAGGGTGATGTGTATATTAACTTGTATGACTAAGTAGTTAGCCTGCTACACTAATCATTAGCTGGAGTTAGTCAGGACTTTCAAATTAATTTTTAAACACAGAGTGTTGTAATAATGGATCCTGGAAATCATCAATGAGTCTGTTGGGAATATGAGAGGGAATGTGGGTAAAATACCTGATCTTATCTATTTAGTAATTCAATAATTTAAGATGGTTGAGCACTACTGGTAGTAGCTGCTTATCAAGGTATCTAGCACACTAAAGAGACCAGTCTGTACACCATTGTGCTGAATGAAAAAGAGATGCCCTCTAAAGGTAATGACTTGGCTATTCTTCTCTATTCAGGGTCCTCACCTCAATCTTGCTAGGGTTAACCTTACCAAGGCAGCAATCCCAATTGTGATAGTCAAAATTGCATTTGGAAGGAGGGCCAGGTTTTGGTGTGAAGAAATGAAGAGTGAGAAAAAGAGAGCCAGTATCTACGATACCATTTTTATTGAGACCACGTTGTTCAAAATGTCAGGCACGTCTGCAGAAGGAAAGACACCATTGTGTTCCAGAGCACTACTGCCATTTTGGGGAGAGAGGATAGTGCTAATGAATCTAGACTCTCTAAACAACGGGGAAGGATCAAGATGACAGTACTTCCCATAGTGTCTGGCATAGATGACACACAAGTTTTGACCATGGGGTGAGGGGCACAACTTTGTGTTGCTACTGCTACTGCTGCTGGGTGCTGGTTGCAGCTGGGGTGCAGCCAGCACCCTGCTGTCAGTGTATAAATCTGGGGTGACACCCCCCCCCCCCAC